GGGTCATAAGAATGTAAACGTGACCCTAAAAAAAATACATCTTGAGCACTAATAAGATTGTTCCTTTTGTTTAAAAAATTCCAGCTCTATGAAGAAAAGGGAATCTGCTGGACTAAACTGAGATGAGTGTGAAATACAGAGCAGAGAATCAGCTCGTTTGGCTCAGAGTCTCTTGGGACTAGGGTGAAACAAGTCTGTGGGTCCCTTTTAGTCAGGTTAGCTTCAGATGGTTCTGTTTCAGATCAAAGAGCTGTCATATTAAATGTATTTACATTTGAGCCAGGTTGTGTTATCAGGAAAAACGATTTTGTTCAGTATTTTATGCCATTAACTGTCATGACTCCTCTCTTTCCCTGCCAAATTCTCCGTGTGAGGTGTCTTTAACGCACGGCTCCTCCTCACTCATTTCCTCCCCAACTGTCCTATAATCTGTCCTTCATCCTCATCCTTCTGTCCCAACGATGCTCTTGGAATCCCAGGACTTAACTTCAGGCCAATGGTCAAACTCCCTCTCCATGCTCTTTTTCCGTGACCCTCACCAAGCTTTTGGCACAGTGCCATCTCTTGTCTCCTTCGTTCTTCTGGGCCTGTGTCTCCTGCAGTCGCCAGTGGCCATCTCTTCTCTACAGAGGTGTCCACCTCTGGGGGGTTCCCAGAGCTTGGCGCTTGTCTCTGGACTTTGCTCTGTGTATTGATCTTGGCTGAGTAGGCTACCTCCAGCTGTCAACATTATTTATTAGTTCTCAAGTCCACATTCCCCCTAACCCACTCCCTTTGAGCTCCCAGCCAGCATTTGGAACATTTGCGACCATAGATTTGTTTTGATCTGGCATCCGAAGCTCAGCAGACCACCTGCAAACCTCACCTCCACGTCTACTCGCTCCCTCCACGCCTCTCCTGGGGGCACTGAAAAGTCTCGGATTTGGAGCTACGGGGGGGGGGGGGGGGGGGGCGGGGACGCTGAAGCCAATTTTCCTTTGGGAAAGATGTTTTGTACAAATGACTAACATCCCAGATGGACTGACAGCCCCATGGCAGGTGGGGGCTCTGAGAAGGGTCTAGGCCCCAACCATGAATATACAAACAGCATGGTATGGGCTCTGAAGAGAGTTGAGGCCCACATGACAGAGAGCTGGAGGAGTCCCTTCTTAAAGGTCTCAGAGGAAGTGGGAGGTTTCATGCAGCCAGTCTGTCTATGATTCCTGGGCAATGGGAGAGGGGAGGCGGAGAATTCCAGAAGTAGGGATGTGTGACCCTGAGGATGTGGAGGAAGTGAGGAAGAGGGGGAGTTCACGTTGGGGTGTACTTAAGTCTATGGGTCGCAGGGGATAGGTCACTACCAGTAGCCCTCTGGTGACCCTGGGGATGTGGCAACCTGAGACATGGAAGCTTCCTTGGGGAAGTGAGAAGGACACCTGTCATTGTTTTGAAATCTGTGCCCCTGTGGAGTCCATTTGCAGACTCACGGACAGTGGGGTGTTCCCCCTGTTGCTAGAATGGCAGGGAGCCCAGAATCGACTGTGAGGAAGGAGATGAAGAGGGTGTGCACGGGCCTGGCTTGAGCAGTGTCTTGTTTGGGAACCTAACAGGCATTACTATTTCCTCTCTGGTCACCAGCACTGGAAGGCACAGAGCCGTCCCTCTTTGACCTCATTTCTTGAAAAAAAAAATTTTTTTTGGGGGGGGGTATGGTAGTACTGAGGATCAACTCCAGGCCTTTGCACTAGCTAGGCACATGCTCTGCCATGAAGCCACCTCCCCAGCCTTTCCCAGGACATCCAACTCCAAAGGACTGTGGGCCACAGTCATTCTTTCCCACTGCCATCTTCTTCTTGAGGCTTGGCTCAGAGTTTGGCATACCAGAGGTCTGGAAACATTTGCTGAACGACTGAACGCTCTTTTGTTATCTGTGTCCCCTCTGTCATCAATCAAACTCGTCTGTCCACCAGTGAGTGGGTGGGTGTTCAGAGTGTTACTGAGCTGGGCTGTGTGGGTTTGAATTTTGGCTCATCTCTTCCCTAGCTGCATGACTTGGAACATGTTACTTAACCTCTCTGAGCTCAAGATCTTGGACTGCATGGGGAAATAACAGTCTCCACCTGGGTGACGATAACAGCTGGGGAGAAACTTGAGCTGGGCCTGTGAGGATCTGTGACCATCTCACATCAGGACAACAGCACACGTAGCAACATCTGGAGGCCAAGGTCCTGACGTAAACTGACCCTGCAGGGCAGTGGACTCTCAGTGTGTTCCTGAGGCTGGGGGTTGGCTCCTAAGGGGTTCAGTGACTGCTCTGTTTGGGAACAGTTGCATGGCACAGAGGAGCTGGAGCCTGAACGAGGCCTGCACAGCCGTTCTCTTTGAGTCTGTGGTCTCCTGGTTTGCCTGCGGCGTCTCCTTTGAAGGAAGAGCCCGACAGCTTCAGACAGGCATGCCATGATGATGTGGGCCTGGAAGGCAGGCCAAGGAGCCTGGGCTTTGTGAGGCTGGTGATAGGGGAGTCGTGTGGGGGTCCAGGTGAAAGACAATGGTGTGATCATTCTCAGTGTTCATTTGGTAGTGGTGTATGCATTTACTGCTAAGAGAAAGACATGGTTCTCCATTATGGAGACTGACTTGACTAACGGTTTGCTGAAATCAGGTGGCTGTGATGCAAGCCTCTAACCCTCTAACTCTGTTCTTACTCTCCCGGGGCCAGTTCTCCAAAACACATGTCTGTTATTCCACTCCACCGGTCAAAGCTTCCACACTTCTCCCTCGGCTGTGGGATAAAAATGAAGTTCCTTTACTGGAAGCACGGAGTTCAATGCCCTGCAGAAGGGGTTTCTTTCTTTCTTTTTCTAGAGACTTTCTTTTTATTTATTCTTGGTGTCTTTCACATCATGCATCTCGATCCCATTTATGTCCGGTCCCTTCCTATCTGCCCTCTGCCTTTGCAACACACCCTAACCACACTGAAATGAAAAGGGAAATCAATCTCATCATAGAAGCTGTGGTATGACACAGTGAGTCACACAGTAAACCCTTTTATCCATATACCTTGACTTGGTCTGGTTCGAGGCCTCTGGTTTCTGTTCCACTGTCAGTGCTGGGCCCTCACTGGGACTCCTCTTGAATATCCTGCTGTTGCCCTGTGTTATAGAGATCCCGAAACTTTGAGTCTGCAGGACTGGCCCTTTCATGTGCTCCAGCAGATCATGGGTGGGGTGGATGTTTGGGGGTGGGCCAATTCATTACCTGGCTTCTGGGCCTGGGTAGTTGCAGGTTTGATCAGCCTGCTGGCTCTCCCTTGTTTCTAATCCTGCCTTCCATGTCATACTTATCTGTAGGCAGCTGATCCTTACAGGACCCAGCACTTAAGACATGGCCCGCAGGTTTCCTCCTGTGTGTTTTATAGCACCCTCTGGTCCTAGGATGCCTCTTCCTCCATCCTGCCACAGACACTCCCATCAAGGGGCACTCCACAAGCCTTTCTGTCCATCTGTCCTTTCTGTCCATCTCCCTGTGTGAATGCCGGAAGGAACTAGCTACTTAACTCCGTCCTCGGGTGGCACCCATGTCACTTCAGTCACAGGTCTTACCTGATGGCACTGGGCTCATCACTCACCAAGGAGCCCACTGAGTTCATTCTAGTAGCACTTGCAAAAGCCTAGATTCCGTCATTCCCTCCTAGGAGGGTGGATTAAAGTGATGCCGCCTGGGCTGTCTATCCCTCTCCCTCAGCTCTGGGCTCCCAGATTAACCTGGGGACACCTTTTAGGTCACAGCACCAGAGCACACTGGGTCCTTATACAGCTGCCTGCTTTTTTTGTCCATGCCTCTAAGCTGGGCTGCATTCCTTCTTCGCTGGAATGTTTAGTGAAATGTCTTGAGAAACATCAGCAGGCTGAGAATTGCCGCCCTTTTCACGACAGGACCAGAAGTCCTGCCCAAGCACCCCCAGCAGGCAGCTCTATCTTCTGGACCTGCAGTGGAGCCCGTCCTCCTAGGCCCTTGGACCAGGCGTGACAAGGCTGGAAAGGCCGTTCAGACCACAGGTGTGAGCGACACGAGCCATTGTTCACCTTGCACTTAAAATGGGAATGCCGGGGCTTTCTGTTCTTCTGTCCGGCTCCCACTCCCAGCCCCACTCAGCACCATCAAGGCATGGCACTTTGTCTGTCCTATGTCACCTGTGAAAAGATTTCTTCGCCTGATAAGATACCTGTGTGCTAGTGAGACAGATGTTTCGTAAGCCTGCCTCACTGACTTCCTCTTTTAAGACACAAGAACCGTGGTGCAGATGGCTTTGGTGATATTCTCAAACTGTCCCCAGGGAGCTTTCTCAGAGATGCAAGTATAAGGCACACTGGGTCTTAGATGCTGCAGTCCCAGATTCCCAAGGAGCTCCCAATTTAGATGGGGTGACAGGAGCAACCAAAACCGAATGAAATGACTAGGAAATGGTGCTAGCACAGGTGCAAATCACTGTCACCTGGGGAGAGGGAGACCTGGAGGAAGAGAGGGGACAGAGCGCTGCATGCTGCCTTAGCAGAAACAGGGCCAGCAGTAAAGATGGGTGGGGATGAGCCAGATCATGATGAATGATCAGCCTGACTCTGGCCAAGAGATTCGAGAAAACTGGATCTGAACTCAGAAACTGTCCCAAAGATTTGAACACTCACTCAGCTGTCTGGGAGCCACCGTGTTCTTCCTAGCACATCAACAAAGCTGTGTTCCCAGATGGAACCTTGCAGAGGGGGATCAGGATGACATAGATGACCTGAACCCTCATCAAAAGATGTCACAGAAGAGCCAGGCTGTGGTGGTGCACACCTTTAATCCCAGCACGCGGGAGGCAGAGGCAGGCGGATCTCTGTGAGTACGAGGCCAGCCTGGTCTACAGAGTGAGTTCCAGGAAAGGCACAAAGCTACACAGAGAAACCCTGTCACAAACAAACAAACAAACAAACAAACAAAAGATGTCACAGAAGGAATACAAGAAGGGTCCAGCTTTGTTCTGGTATCACACACCTCATTTACTGTGGCCACACTTTTCCGTGCTATGGGGTGATCCAGAATTCAACAAGGAAGCCTGATGTGATGAATAATCTTGCATTGGTCCAGTTAGGCTTCTGGTACTGTGATTTAAAAAAAAAATGATCAAAAGTATCTTGATGTGTAGATTTCAGTCCATCACTGGGGTCAGCCAAGGCAGGAACCTGGAGATAGGAGCTGAAACAGAGATCATGGAGGGATGCTGCTTACTGGCTTGGTTTTCTGGAAAACCAGGGCCAGCTCTGCTCCTTACTTGCCACTGTCTTTGTGGTAGCCCCATGGTACTGGCATCTCCAGTATGTTGAGGTCTTCACTGAAACTGGACTGCACCTTCCCCAGTGACCCCTCCTGGCTTCTCCGGGGACTCTGCCCCTTCCATATGGTTCTGTGCTATGCCTTGGTCTTTTCTCACGATCCCTTCAATCCTGTGGCTTCTACTGCAACCAAGACTGTGCTTTCACTAATGCCCCCCTGGCCTCTCTGCAGGGACTCCAACTCTGCCACATGATGCCAACCCCCTATGATTCTTTCACGCCTTCAAAACCAGTACTATGTGGTGTGGTGGTTTGAATGAAAATGTCCCCCATAGGTTTCATAGGTAGTGGCACTACTAGGAAGTGTGACCTTGTAGGAGGAAGTGTGTCACTGAGGATGGGCTTTGAGGTTTGAAATGCTCAATCCAGGCCCAGTGTCTCTCTCTCTCTGTCTTCCTGCTACCTGCTAATCCAGTTGTAGAACTCTCAGCTACCTCTCCAGCACCATGTCTGCCTGTATGCCACCATGAAGATAATGGACTAAACCTCCGCACGGTAAGCCAGCCCCAATTAAATGTTTTCCTTTATAAGAGTGGTTGTGGCCAGGGCGTCTCTCTTCACAACAATAGAACCCTTAATTAAGAGACGTGGTTGCACATTATTAAGTTTGGCATGTAGCCTTGGCCCTCTGGAACCTCTGTGTGCTGATCCTGAGGAGAGAGACACTGCAAGAAGATTTTACCTATTGACGCTGGTCTCTTATTAGTCACGGCTGATTCTCTGACCTCAGCTGACCAGAAACTACAAATTCCTAATTCAAAATATCACACGAATGGCCATGATAGCGTCTTTAGGAGACTTTTAAACTTTCCTCTGGGAGCTGGGCCTCCACTGTCTGTATTTCTCTTAACATTCTTATCTTCCTGGCTCATACAAAACACCTCATTAAGCTCTGAGCACTCACTTTTCCAGCTCAAAACTCAAAAGCCCTCCCACACCACTCCTTTCCAAGCCAACACGGTCAGGTCCGTCACAGCAATAACCTGCTCTCCAGTACCAGTTTCTGTTCTAGTTTGCTTTCTATTGTTGTGTTAAACACCCAACCAAGATCATCTTGGGGACGTGTCTTAGTTAGGGTTTCCATTACTGTGAAGAGACACCATGACCACAGCAACTCCTATAAAGGAAAGTATTTAACTGGGGCTGGCTTACAGTTTCAGAGGTTTAGTCCATTATCATCATGGTGGAGGGCAGGCAGACATGATGCTGGAGAAGGAGGTGAGTTTTACATCTTGATCTACAAGCAGCAAGAGACTGTGCCACACTGGGTGTAGCTTGAGCCTATGAGACCTCAAAGCCCACCCCCACAGTGACACACTTCCTCCAACAAGACCATACCTACTCCAACGAGGCCATACTTCCTAATAATGCTGCTCTCTATGAGCTAAGCATCCAAACTCATGAGTCTATGGGGGCCACACTTATTCAAACCACCATAGGAGGAAAGAGTTTATTTGGCTTACATGTCCCAATCCCAATCCATCATTGAGAAAAGTGAGGGCAACAACTTAAGGAAGAGCCAAGAAGAGGTGCTGCTTACTGGCTTGCTCTCATGGCTTGCTCAGTTTGATTTCTTACATAACCTAGAACCACCTGCCCAGGGGTGGCACCACTCACGGTGGGCTGTGCCCTCCCACACCGATAATTAATCAAGAAAATGCTCCTCACGGGCCAGTCTGGTGGAGGAAATTCCTCAGGTGATGTTCCTCTTCCAGAGAGACCCTACTTTATGTCAAGGAGACAAAAAGTACCAGCACAGACCCCAGGTTAAGTGGGAATGTCTCCTGTGCTACCACAGAGGGAGCAGGCAAGTATAGACTGAAGGAGAAGACAGGCAAAGCAAAGCAACGAGCTTTTCCAACTTATCTAAACTTAAGGAGTCTCTCCCTTTTCCAGTTTTCTCTTCAGGAGCCTCCCCATTCACCTTCACTCTGGTAACCTCCCCATTCACCTCCCCTGTGGTAACCTCCCCATTCACCTCTCCTGTGGTAACCTCCCCATTCACCTCCCCTGTGGTAACCTCCTCTTTACCTTACCCTTTTTGCTTTTAGTACAGTGTCTTTCCTCCATCCACCTTCATGCCTTGATTCCCTTTCACTTAACCACTGACGTACCTATTTAACAAGTCAAACCTGACCTGGCTGACAGGCCATCCCAGCATCCCTCAGTTCCTACTTGTTACAGGCATGGATGGCAGCACACCTCACCCTCCGCCCAGAACTCTCCAGCCCAGGTGCTGGGCTGCCCCTCCCCAGAAGCTCTTCCCTGTATAATTCAGACATTTAGTTACCTTTTCCTCTTGTGCTTGGCCTGGCTGCTGTACCTGGTTCCCCTCGCTCCCTTCTCCTCTCCCTCCCTCTCCCCACACATGGCTCGGCCTGGTCATGTCCACTCTGGACTCTCCCAGATAGCCCTGCTTCTGACTATGCCCTCCCACATATCTACAATGAACTCTCTCCTCCACCATACTGAGGAGCAGTCATGTCCTTTTATTTCCTTTTTATTTCTTTATTTCATTCAAAGCTCAGTGCAGGAACACACCTGGAAGAGTCAGCCATTTTATCTGAACGCTTTCACGTTGTCATCTGTCAACTGTTAATTCATCCCCAGTGTTGGACAGGGATGACCTGGGAAGGCACAGTGTGTATAGGTTTCTGTTGTAAATGTCTTTCTCAGTACGTCTTTGTCTGGGACTGCCAGGAAGTACGAAATCTTTAGCCAGGTTGTCTCTGTCTTCTGTCAGTGAGTTGACTGGCCTTGAGTGAGTCCGTTAGGTGCTCACCGCAGAACAGAAATCAGCTGGTACCTGTTGAGGATTGTGGTCTCACACCCCGTAGCATTTTATGATGCTCCTTACAGCAGGAGGGGTAGTCACTGAGGAACTTGCTGGAGTGTTTACAGCTTTGCTTTAGCAATAGACCGTCTTGGGGCTGACGCCTTGTCTGGCTTCTTCCACTCTGTTCTGAACCTGGTGTTCCTCTTTTCCTGATGTTGATTGACTATGAATATTTCAGTGCATATTAAATCCTTCACAGAGTGGCTCACAGCAAGCACTCGTAAGAGGTTAGGACTAAGAGACCCCGTGGGAACCTACCTTCCACCTCAGTGATGTCATACCAGGAATCTGGAAAGTGGCAACACTCTTATTAAAACATAGTCTATCCTAAAGACATCCTGGGCCGGCATTAAGCCCTTCCGGAGTAGCTGTAAGGATTGCAGGCATGCGCAGTGGCCTCTCAGCCACTGAACTAGTAAGTAGCTTGTATGTCTCAACTGTGTGTGACTGGATGAGGACAAGTGTTGTCAGAGTATTTAAAATGCATTGGCAGGGGTAAGGGGTGGGGGTGGGGATGGGGAGGAGGAAGAGGGGCTTGGTCTGACCCAGGGGAGACCATGTTGATTCATGGCAAGGGGGCATGTACAGATGGCCAAAGTGTCTACAGAGAAAGATGGGATGCTGCCCTTATAAAGGTGAAGATGACTTTTGTAGTCTGCAAGGACATCTGGGAAGTGTAGTCTTTCAAGAGGAAAATGAATGGCTCTGGGCCCAGCAAGCCCAAGGCAGTTTGACTCCCCCAAAACAGGCTCTCTGTGTTGGCTGTGGCCAGCCTGGCACTCAGGACTGGTGTGAAATAGACAGAGCCACAGAGTATCTCCTGGCCAGGGGTACATCTGTTTCCCACCTCACAGACCTAGTCACAGGCTCTCTTTTCTAAGGCTACTTTCACTCTATCGCTGCTCATCCTATCTGGAGTGGCCCATCTTCTCAGGCCAGTTTCACACAGCACATCTCCAGCATCCTGAGAGGCCATGTCTCATGATATGATCTCATTCCTAAGGGTCAGGAGGAGCATTCATAGTTTATAGTCACGAAGCCTTCCGTTGGACCCCCTCATCCAACATGACTTTCACGAGAAGGATGCTGTATTGTTCTTAGAAGCTGTGAGTTGCAGAGGGGTCTAGAGAACTTAGAAGGGACCCCAACGAGTTCTGGCATTCCAGTGAGAAAGCAGCCTTTGGCTCCAAAGCTTCGGAGCAAGAAGGGCCTGATTCCCAGCACACTCTGGTGGCAATGAATGCGGTCAAGTACTTGAGTCTCCACACTGGTCAAATACACCAGCACTGCCTGGGGAGTTCTGTCCGTGGATATGTTTGTTGTCCCTGACATCTGCTTGTGCTGCTTACCTCATGATGGTAGCTCCACTGTGAACAGCACTGATTTCCCAAGGGGAAAACAAACAAACAGACCACAACATTAATCAAGAGCGTGTGGGAAATAGACCCAGATGGTCACAGGCTGAGAAGTCTGGGAGATACATACTGTTCTCAGGAATGCACAGGTTGGCGAGGAAGAACCATAGTTCTCCAGGCCCAAGTGTGCTTGGGACATTGCCAAACCACGGGCAGCTATTGTTCTGAGGAGGTTCTAGAATCACTGGGTGCCTTCGCCAATGTGGTTACCTAGACAACCGTGCCAGCCCTGGCAGCTGCTCACAGCTGCTTCCCTTGAGCTGCATGTGGCTTGGGGAACAACTTTCTGCTCAGGACGTTTGCACACAATGGGATCTAACTCTATACGTGTGCCTCTCCCTCACCAATCACAGATCCCGGATTTATGTGGCCAAAACTCATTCAAGTTGAGACTCAGGAAATGAATACGACATTATGAATGCATAGCCAAAAGGGCAGGGTCTTAGGAGGCGCCTGGGCAGCCCGAGGCTCTGTTAACTTCATGAGGTTACATGAGCTCTGCCCTAGCGTTGGTTATCAGCAAAGGGCAGTAGGCAGTTTCCAGCAAGCTCATCCTCTGGTAATTGAGCCCCGGTGCACGGTAGGCAGGAACAACGGTTCTTGGTGCACTCAGAAGCCTTTGTTGTTGCCCTCAACATCCAAAGCTTCTCCTCAACTCTAGGCATCCGAGGGCAAAACAGGTTTCATATTCGTCAAGAGGCTGTAGTCATGCCATCACCCCCCACTCCAGCCCCAGACACATTTTTCTTGCAGCCTTGTCTCCCCCAGGTTCCTAGCAGAGTGCCTGGCACATGGCCAGCATGTGGTTGAATGAATCCTGATGTGCAGAATTAAATGGAAGATAATTGCCACCTTAGAGCCCCAAGGGAATTCTGCAGTCCCAGCCTGGTTGAAAGACTGGGGTGGGGAGGAGACGTGGATTCCCCTCCTCTACTGAGACTGGTTTGTTCTTGTTTTGCCTGGAGTACAATGACAATCTCTCCTCATTTGTCAACAGAGAGAGGCTCTTCTGGGCTGACCTCCAGGGTGACTGGGGGGCCCTCAGACGGGACTATTGGCATACAGAATTGTGCCTCTTTAGAGACATTGGTGCTGGAGGGCCTTGTGAATTTCATTGTGTTGGCATTCATTGGCTCTAGCCAGACCAGACCAGGCTTTTTGTCTGAGGGCAGCCTGGAAGCCACATTCTGCCAGTTCTTTACTAATATGCATGGAACAACACTTCTCACTGAGAGGCAGAGAGAGGAAGAACTGTACCTTCATGTACAAGTTAACAGAAGTCCCAGCAAGTGAGTACGGGATGAAATTTTGTCTGGCTTTGATTGATGGAGGGAAACCTTGATATGAGGGTGAAGGAGCTGCAACAGTAGAAGCTTCTGGAAGAGTTCACCTATCACCCCAGAGTTTGGGATGCTTCGGATGGGATCTTTATGAGATGATTCCAAATATCACATGAGACTGCAATCTAGGGAGACAGTGCAGGAAGGAAGGATTCCATGATATATTTGCTTTCTGTTGCTGTGATAAACACCATGACCAATGTAACTTGGAGAGGAAAGGGTTTATTTTCACTAACAGCTTATAGATCATTATGAAAGAAAGTCAGGACACAAACTCAAGGCAGGGACCTGGAGGCAGGAACTGAAGCAGAGACCATGGAGGAGTGATTCTTACTGGCTTGCTCATTTTGCTCCTTCTAGAACCCAGGACCATCTGCCCAGGGGTATCACTGCTCTTGGTTAGCTGGGCTTGCTCACATCAACCGTCAATCATGAAAATGCCCACACAGATTTGCCTATAGGCTGATACTGGTGGAGGGGGGTTTTCTCGGTTGACATTCCTTCTTTCCAGAGGACTAGATTCCTAGTTTGTGCCAGGTTGACAAAAAGTTAACCAGCACACATGTTCAGGTAGGTTTGGGCAAGGTCAGAGTACCCCCCATCTGGAAAGTCACTGTGTGAATTAGTCTATCTCTAAAAAGACTCACATTTGAAGAAGTGGGCCCAGACTTTAAAAGTCGCCAGGCACTTCCCAAAGGCACTGGAGCAACACTGATGAAGACATTCCTCATGTCACAGCCAAGAGTCACTGAACAAGTACTGCAAGGCACGTGTAGAGTCAGCACTCAGCTGGCTTCAGGAGCAGGCTGTGCTGGGGGATCTTTTGGCAAGTCTCTTACTGGACACCTGGAGGAAGTAATGGCTAAGTGTGCCTCCATGAGCAGGATTCTTCCCTGAAGTTCAAGGTAAGGTTCTGGAAATGTGGGGGTAAGGTGGGTAATAGTGGGTGAAAATCTTTAGGCAGAAATTTGTCTTTTGGGACAAGAGAAATGGGGACTACTGTGCCCCACTCTGGGAGGTTCAGGACGTCTCTGGGGAAATGGTGGTGTGTTATAACAGATGTTACTATGATTAGGTGTCCACCTCAATCTCACATTTTCTATTTCCATGTAGTTACTATGACTGAATTCTCGGTTATCTGATGTTCCATTGCAAGTGGGGGACCACTTACACTCTGGGTGACAGACAGGCCCACACACTGGGTTCCTACAGAGCTGCCAGCAGTCTGGTGGCTGTATGGCAGCTACTCTCTTGGAAGACTGGATGGTAACTGAACACTCTTGTTACTGACTGAGCTGCATCCCAGCTTAAGCATGTGCTTGTCTGACACTTGTGAAAATATGAAAGGGATAGATGTGGGTATGGGAGGTCCTGTTATCTCTGCTTACAAAAGTTGTTATGTAATATGAGTGTATGGCATACTTTTCTGTTATTTGCCTCTAAAATTTCTCCCTAGCAAAATTTATGATGAATATGAATTTATAAGCCATCTTCAGCTGAGGAATCCATCAACAGATGAATGGATAATGAAAGTGTGGTGTATATAAACAATGGAGTTTTATTCTTCAACAAAGAAAAAAGAAATTATGTTATTTGCTGGAAAATGGAGATCATTGTGTTAAGGGAAACAAGCCAGACTCAGAAAGACAAATATTTCATATTTTTCCACACTTCTGGATCCCAGATCTTTGAATTGATATATAAAATAATTTAGATATCTATAACGCAAAGCAGGGTCAAACTCACAATCCCACTGCCACAGTCTCCCCACATAGTGGGATTATAGGCATGCTCCATTGCACCTGGCTATCCTTTCAGAGCTGTGCTGACTTTTTGTGTTACTGGTTAAAATTCCTTATATCTGGATGCATGAACTTTTCTTTCTTTCACATGTATATGTACGTATGTTGTGCTTGCAGGCATGTGTGCATGCTTACCTGTGTGGGCACATGGTTGCGCAGGTGTGGAGGCCAGAGGTTTGCATTTGGGTGTCTTCTTTGCATTGAGTCAGGGTCTCTTACTTACCCTGAGCTCACTGATCAGGCTAGCCTGCTTAGCCAGCTTGCTGTCAAGGCGCTCTGTCCCTGTCTCCTGAGCACTGGGATTGCAGATGGGCCACCACACCTGCCCAGTGTCTCTGTGAACACTAGAATGGGCCTCATGTTTGCATGGCAAGCAATGTACCCACTGAGCAACCTCCCCAGGCCCCTGGAAGCACTAGCATTTCTAGCAATTTCTTATCTTTATCTTTTCCATGTGCATTTTGAAATATTGCATTGTCATGTTGATGAATAAGTTTAAACCACATTCCCTTGGGTACTCGGAGTCCTTTCAAAGTATGTTCTGTAGCAACTTTTATTTTTGTTCCCCCTATTAAATTTTTTTTTCTGTTTAAAATATGTTTTGCATCCAAACTATACATCATATTTCCCAGAGGGTCCCTGAGAAGCCACAAAGATTTATTGTTTCGGCTTCTAAAAAGAGAATGATAAAAAAATAATTAGATTTGTTTGTTTTCTTCTTCTGTCTGTTGGGGCCTGGGCCTCGCACATGCTGGACAAGCTCTCGATCATCAACAATCCTTCACTACCTTAGAGCCTTATGGAACAAGGGTTAAAGCAGAAGGCACGTGGGCTTCCAGAGTCAATGTTATTCAGTGTGCGTTATCAATGTTTTGGATGCTGGGTGCTTTAGAGAAGGGCCCGAAATTTACCCTTCTCTCTTGCTCTCTGGAACACATTCTTGCCCCGGGTAGCCAGCAGCTGGATCCGGCATATTAACACCTCAATGGGGATTTTACTTTGCTCTGTTTTGATATCATCAATTACCATAAAAATTAACTGTAACTGTTTCATTCTTATCAACAGATGGGCTTTGCTTTTTCTTTTTGTTTTCTGTAAGTTTCTATAGTATCCATGTCAGCAATAGGATCTCTAACAAATAAGGAGAAACAAGCCTGTAGCTAGTGCTGTAGACTGCTCACACCTGAAGAAACGTACCCCTGGGCACTGGTTCCAGAGTCAGTTCAGGCCACAGCACTTGGGAAACTTGGCCAGAGTGAGCCCAATGCTAAGCCAAGTGTACAGCTTCTCTCCAGCTCCAAAGAAGACAATTCTGTAAATGTAGATTGTTGCTGGCCCAAGAGACAGTAGAACGAGAGAGAACTAAGTAACTGTTAAGGGAGTGTGTGTGTGTGTGTGTCTGTGTCTGTGTGTCCTGGTTAGTTTTTTGCCAACTTGACACAAGCTAGGTTTATCTGGGAAGAGGAAGCCTCAACTGAGAAAATGTCTCCATAGGATGTAGCTGTAGGCAAGCCTGTGAGGCATTTTTTTTTAATTGATGATTGATGTGGGAGGACCCAACCCACTGTGGACAGTGGCATCTCTGGTCAGGTGGTCCTGGAGTGTATAAGAAAACAAACTGAGGAAGCCAAAAAGAACAATCCAGTAAGTAGCCCTCCTCCATGGTCTCTGCATCAGATGCTGCCTCCAGGTCCCAGTCTTGAGTTCCTGTCCTGACTTCCCTCCACGAGGGTCTGTAAACTGTAAAACTCAATAAACTCTTCCCTCCCTAAGTTGCTTTTGGTCATTGTCTTTATCACAGCATAAATATAACTATATTATTAACTATAAATATAACTATAACTTAGTTATAGAAATATAACTAAGACAACATGTATTCTTTAAAAGGTAAGATGAGCTGATTTTTTAAATATTCTGTTGTTTGATGTATCTATATAGAGGGTCTTTTTCTTTGCTTTTTGTTAGTGAACAAATTTTATGCCCAACATCAAATGTTTACAGTAGTCGTTTTGAAGGGTCCAGTGCAGCAGCATTGTGTATGTTCACATGGTTGTATGGTTGTCACCGTTATCCATTCCAGAATTTGTCATCTTCTCCAGCTGAAACGCATGCTCACGAAGCATGATCTCTCTGCACCCTCAGCCCCCTCCCCCATCCACTCCCTGTATCTATAGATTTGACTGATGTAGGAACCTGTGTTAGTGGAGTTATATAAACTTTGTCTGTCACGACAGGCTGAACCCCTTACCTGAATGTCTTCAGGGTCATCCACGGTGAAGAATGTTTCAGAGTTTCTTCCTTTAGAAAGTTGAGTGATAGCTCACTGTATATAGTTACTGCTTTTGATTAGCCAACCAACCCCTTGGGATGCTTGGGTTGATTGTTGTTGGCTATCATAAATGGCATTTCCAATGTGCACAGAAATCTGTTCAAATCTCTGCTCTTGATTACTTTGTGTACATACCCAGAGGCAGAGGCAGAATTACTGACAATTTTGCTTCTTTTTTTTTTTTTACAGAAATACATTGTTTTCCATCGTGGCCATACACTTTTATATTCCCATGTACAGTGAACAACTCTTAAGTTTTTCTCCATACTTACCAACACTTGTTATTTTCTGTTTAGTTTCTGGGTTCTCAAAAATAGCTATCCTATTAGTATGAAGAACATCTCCTGTGATTTCTGATAATTGGTGGGCAGGTTCCACTTCTCTGCCCTTTTTAAAAGCAAAATTAGACCCCCCCCCCCAATTTTCATGTGTGTGGTATATATGCACATTTGTGTGTGTGTGTGTGTGTGTGTGTGTGTGTGTGTGTGTGTGTGTGTGTTCATGCGTGCATGTGAGAGACCCAAGGTTAACATCAGGAATCATTCATAATCCCTCTTCTCTAATATCCTAAGCAGGGTCTCTCAGTCAAAACCAGAGCTTGTCTGTATGTTTAGTCTAGCTGGCCAGCTTGCCTGGGGATCTTGTCTCTGCCTTCCAGGACTGGAATTCTAGGTGTCTACCATACTAGTGTATTCAAAATTTATGTGGGTTCTGGGATCCCAACTCCAGTCCTCAAGCTTGTACATCAAGAGCTATCACCACTGAGAAGTTTCTCCGGCCACACTTGAAGTTTCTCAAGGCATATTTTAATACCAAGTTAAGCCTGGAGGATAGAGAAGAGGGTGAACACAGACTTCAAGAGAAAGAGTCACCTTTAACTGCTTTAACAGTAGCTGCACATGGGCTTTGGGTGGCTTCTGGAGTCTTAAAAGATTAAATAAATATATTTGATATACTTGTTTTTATCTGAAGAACTTTTCTTTGGCAAGCAAACAGTCATAAAGAGGTTTACGAGGTGTGAGGTGCAGTCTGATTGGCTGATAGGGTAAAAGTACAGGTCTAGGGCATCGGGGAGGCCTGACCACACATGGCTGACCACAGTCCAGACACTGTAAATGTGTCATAAGCTGGCTATGACATTTTCTGGACTCTCGGGGAGTAGAGGTGAAGCGTTCCTCTCGTTTCTCACGACTCCTCAACCCTCCACTTTCCTATGCTGCCTCAACCTCCCCGTGCCCCCACCCCTTCTCTATCGTCCGTTTCCGCTTGTCTCTTTCTCCTGTTCTACATCTACCCTTTGCACTTAGCTGAGGGTTGGCCCTTTGCAACTGGCATCAGCCACCTCCAGTTCTCCCGGCTTCTCAAAGTCAAGGCAGCTTTGTGACTGCGCTGCTGTTCTTCTCGGAATAGTTAGTACAGCTGTCTTCTAACATTTAATCAGCTAGTGAATATAAAACATCAACAACAACAAAACAATTAAACAAACAAACAACAGCAAAACTCCCAGGGTAGATGGAAAAGTAATCATGCAACAAAGGTCATTCCTAGAATGTAATCTTTAAAAGCGGATTTTAGGCGCTGAATCAATGGCTTCGCTGTTCAGAGCACATACACTCTCCCGGATGTTCTGAAGTCAGTTGCCAGTGCTCACATTGGGTGGCTCACAATCTCCTCTAACTCCAGAACCACAGTGCCCAAAGCTCTCTTCTGACCTTGGAAGGCACCACTCACGCACACATACCCACACAGTGGCACACACACACACACACACACACACACACACACACACACACACACACACACACACACTATTAAAAGTGAAATCTTTAAGAAACTGAATGGCATTTAATGAGACAACCCAGGAGTAAAGTGTGCTTCCTCTGGAGGCTAATTAGCCCCGTGGCCTTTGACACCATCCCGTGCTTGTCAGGGGGGATTTCTCAAAAAGACTCACTTCCTGCCTGACAGGAAGCTCCTCAGAAAGGGGACTTGCAGCAAGAGGAGGCCACCCAGATGTCAGGACTGCACGGGAAACTGGTGGAAGTGAGTCTCTTGAATTCCTAGCTTGCGAAAGGACAAAAGAAAAGAAAAATAAGTAAATACAACCTTTGGAAAAGAGGAATCTATGTCCAGGTTTCATTTCCTACACGAATTAACACACTGACTATGCGCCACAGGCTTGTCTAAGATTCCCTGGCTCATTTATGTAAATTAGTCAAACTGAAAACACTACGTGAGAACTTTCTTTTCCTTTTTAATGTGGGTAAACAAAATTAATGTTTGACAATTATTTATAATAGCAATTCTGTTTCCAATTGGATAGTGAGGGGTGGGTAGACGGCTCAGTGGTAAATTGCTCACTCTTTAAGCATGAGAACCAAATGGATTCTAATGCCCAGCACTCACATAAGAGCCGGGTGTGGCAGGACTTCTGAAATCCCAGTGGTGTGACCAGAGATAGACAGATCCTGGAGGTTTGCTAGCCAGTCAAAATAGTGAGCTCCAGGTTCAGTGAGAGATATTCTCTCTCTCGCGCGCACACACATGCACTCACACACACACACACACACACACACACACACACACACACACACAATGAAACAAGCAATGGCATAGTTTTCAGCTGGGTCAGACCTAACAGAGTACCTGAACAAACCGTGGCCCCAAATTCATACAGAAAACATAACCCACACGCCATGCTATGAAGAGGTCAGCCTCTGAGAGGAGTTCAGGTCATGAGAAATCAGTGCCCCTGCAGAAAAGAACTAGACACTCCATTGACCCTCCCACCACAAGAGGATGTAGCAGAAAGGAAGGCCATCCAGGAAGTAGCTGCCATTCCCAGCCTCCAGAATGAGAACCCGATCTCTGTTGCTATGGGATACCCAGTCTTTGGTATTGTGCCACTTGATAGTTATTGAATTGTCTATGGGTTTTCTCTGTGTTTGGCTCAATATTTTCTATTGATTTGGGTTCAAACTCTCTGAAATTTCATGTTAACTTGTAGAGATATAAATTAATAGAGATATAAATTAATGTCTTTGTATTAGGAAAGACAGCACCTCCGTTATTATTTGATTGCCCTATAGGAAATGAACCATGGTTAACTTAAATTAATATTCATGTCTTAAAGTTCTTCCAAGCCAACATGGTGAACAAGCACTACTTTTAAACAACACTCAGGAGACAGAGGTGGGAAGATCCACTGTGAACTTGAGGCCAGCCTGGGTTAAAAAATAACACCCTGTTTCAACAAAATAAAGTGAGACAATCCCTCCAAACAGGTGGTTCTGCCTTTGTACTGTAAGTGCTCAGCTTTTCAAATGACCTTTGACCTAACTTCCTATTTTGCTGGGTTCCTCATCAATGACTTACCTAAGCTTTGATACATTCAGTCTAAAAATTTCAAAATGTTAGTCCTTAACTCAACCTGTTGTGTGTGTGTGTGTGTGTGTGTGTGTGTGTGTGTGTGTGTGTGTGCGCGCGCGCGCATGTGCTTGTGAGCACATGCATTAGCATGTAGTAGGTAGATATCAAAGACATTATGGGAGTCAGTTGTCTCCTTTCTGTATGTGGGTCCTGGTAGTTGAACTCAGATTGTCCAGCTTGGTAGACAGTGTCCTCACGCTTTGAGCCATCTTGAAAGCTCCCCCCATCCCCATTCTTTTTTTCCTTGGAGACAAGGTCTCACTAAGTGACCAAAGTTGGTGTGGAACTTTCTGACACAGGTAGGTTTTGAACTTGTGATCCTCCTGCCTCAGTCTTTGGAGTAGCAGCAGGGATTACAGGCCTGTGCAACCAGGCTGGCTCAAGTTTTAAGTTAGTCCAGAAGTGATGTCCTCTGGCACCATCCTTAAGTGGAGGTGACCTTCACTTTCTGTGATCTAGTAGGGATTGTATGGCTCCTTCCTTAGCCAGGCAGAGAACGCCTGGGTGCACGCAGCTTGGGCCAACTTGCACATCCACTCTTACAGACCATCAGCACTCAGTGGATCATACTCCCTTCAGTTCTAAAGAGGAAACCGAGGCTGGCAGAGGACCAGCGGTTCAGATATAAATACTGTAAAGTACTGCATGCACATGATGCCCCTTCCTGCCTATGTTCACCTTTCACAAGTCTGCCTTGGACATTGTAATCCTGAGGCTGTCACCCCCATTTGTGTGGGTTCCCCTTTGTCACTAATGTTCCCCTAAAGGTGAATGGCCACCCTGTGAGGGCTTCTTGGTGGGAATGAAGCAAAGGAAGGAATATTTCTGGAAACAAATATCCTGGAAATTGCTGGAGAAAGCTGTCCGGAGGTCAGAGGCAATGCTTCCCCTGTGTGAAAGCACTTTGAAGAGTGCGCTCTCCCGGGATGTGATTCCACTCTCTCGCTTTTAAGCTCTGGCCAGAGGGGAACATTGTCACCGTCACTGCCTTTGAAGACCTTTGCTGGCAGCAGTGATTTTTGTTGCTTTTGGCAGATCTATCTAGAACATGTCCAAGAAGGGATATGACATGAATTTAGCAATTTTGTTATGAAAGTCCCGTGGCTTCCGTGTGGGCATTTCTGGTCAGAGCCTTGTTTTTCCTCTTCGGACTTCCAGGGGATTATTTCTTCTTACAGATTAAGGAAATTTTCAGAGCCAAATTTTAGGTCTTTCCTGATTAAAATAAAACACACAATGAAAAGATCATTGGCTTGGATTTGAAAAGTAGCCAGGGACAGAACACAGAAAGACAGCTATTATTATACTTCCTAACAAAGCCAGTGGTTTTGGGGAAGGGGGGGAAATTATGTAGTGAAGAAAAATTGTCACACCTTACAGAGCTTATTTCCCATGAGCCTTGGTTTCACTTTTAGAGAGGACAAGAACAGTAAATGTGAGAGGCTTAGGCTGTTCTGTAAAGCGAATTTGGAACTACAGCTAAGGTATCCTGTCCTAGGTCTCCCGAGGAAGCCTTGAGGAGATATGAACAAAGATCCTTGGCGTTCTGGCCCTGGGTGGCCCAGGGGACGCTACCCTTCAACTCCGGCTCTCTGATAAGATGGAGTCATCATGTCTGGCTCCCCCTCCCCCTCCCCCTCCCCCATCACCTCCATCCCCCACCCCCATGCTGTGAAGATGGGTGAGGAAGGATGAAGATAAGAACTCATGTCTCCAGAGCTCACCCTGAGGCAGCCCTGGCAGCACCTCACTTGAAGTGGGAACTATTCTTTCCCTTTCCTGTCCTGTAGTTAGGGAGACTCTTTCAGCCTGAACAGGAAAGGTCATGGGACAATGTTTTGCGTGTTTGCTCCCCAGCTGGTGGTGCTCTTTGGGAAGGTTCTGGAACCTTTAGGAGGTGAGGTTTTAACCGGAAGAGTGGGTCTCTAGGGGCAGGCTTTTGAAGGTCTCCCTTTCCTCCCCTGCTTTCTGCTTCCTGGACTGCTGTGGTCTAACAGCCTCCACCACTGGCTCTTCCACCTCAGACTGAGCTGCTCTGCCACGATGGACAGAAACCGTGAGCTAAAGCCAATCTTTCCTCCTTGAGTGGCTTCTGTCAGTTTCAGTCACCACAAGGCAGAGTCACAGAGTTACTCACGGAGTTGCTCCCAGTGAAGTGATGAATCCCTGGTCAGGTGTGAGCACTGTGACTTCAGGACTTGTGTTCCCAACATCTCATGTCACATGTCCTGCCCAGACAATATGTGCGAAACAACTGATATGATGCATGGTTTTCACTGGATCGGCACCAGACAGGCAGAAACTTGCTTTTTCTATATGAAACCAAAAGCCAAAGCATCTCAATGCCAGCCACAATCTGTGCTATTAACACAGTCACTCAACAAACCCTTAATAGAAAATCTAGCCGGGCGGTGGTGGCGCACGCCTTTAATCCCAGCACTCGGGAGGCAGAGGCAGGCGGATCTTTGTGAGTTTGAGGCCAGCCTGGTCTCCAAAGCGAGTTCCAGAAAAGGCGCAAAGCTACAGAGAAACCCTGTCTTGAAAAACAAACAAAGAGAAAGAAAATCTACATCTTTTACACAGCCTCTATGATGCTGGCCCAGCTGGACTGAAGTAAATTTATGACAAACTTTCCTTTCCTATGATTAAACAACACTTCAGGGCCTGAAGAGATGGTTAAGAGCTCCTGATGCTTTTGCGGGGGACTGGAATTTGGTTCCCAGAATGCACAAGATCATAACCATCTGTAACTCCAGTTTCAGGGGATCCAGTGAATGTGTGCACGTGCGCGCACACACACACACACACACACACACACACACACACACACACAAATATAAATAAAATAAATGCTTTTAAAAACGGCTTCCAGGACTTTTTTCTAGTTGTCTCAATCTGTTCACTCCTTGTTTCCCTCCCACATCTTCTAATCAACAGAATCTTCTGATCGAAGGCGTATCTTCAGTTACAGAAGTATTTTGAGTATCCCCTTGGCTGTTTATTGACAAGAATCACCTTTACTTTATTTAGCAAATATTCGTGTTTATTCTCTAAGCAGTGGACTCGGTGCTAGGTCAGATGATAGAGATAACGAAGCCCTGGCTATTGTAGTACACACCTGTTATTGTACCACTTGGGAGATTGAGGCAGGAGAATGGAAAGTTCTAGAAGGTGGGAGTCCTAAATTAGAAAAACAAAACAAAACAAGTGTTGTGATCTAGGTTTCTAATACCAACACTTGGAAGGTGGAGGCAGGAGGATCAAGGACTTATAGCTAGGGGTCAATCAGATACGGGTGAAACACCTCCCACTAAGCCTGACAGCCCAAGTTCTGTCCCTGGATCCCACATATTTTAAGGAAAGAATCCATTTCTACAAGTTGTCCTCTGACATCTGCATGCACGTGGACACACACACACACACACAAATAATAACAAATAAAAATAAAGTAACACACAATAGAATAATAACAAGTAAAAATAAAAAAGACTATGACTAGCCTCAGCTACATAGCAAGTTGAAGGCTAACCTGGCTTCTAAATGAGACTCTGTTTCAAAAACAAATGAACACAACAGCAACAGCAACAAAACCCCCAAACTAAAAATAATAACAAAGAAATAAAGGACATCATATTGGATTGAAGCTTACATTTGAGTGGCCTAATAACAATGTATACAAGAAACTGCCAGCCTAAGGAAACCGTGGCTCAGCGCTAACTCCAATGCCATTGGCTCAGGTAAATAAAGTTTTATTAGAACACAGCCACACCCATGCATTGAAGAGTTGTCTGCAGTTAAGGCAGCTTCAGCGCTAACACAGTAAAGCTGAGCAGCAGCAACAGAATAGATGCTCTGAGGCCCCAAATTTTTCCTCTTTGATCGTTCACAGAAAAATGTTTGTCAATCCCTGTTCTATAGGATTGGTCCTGTGACATATTATGTGACTAGTGTATATTTAGCAAGCACATTTATAGTGTATAAAGCAACATATATATACACACATGTGCATGTACACACACACACACACCCTAAGGATTGAGCCCAGGTCCTCACATATGCACATGGAGTTAGTGCTCTAAGACCCCCCAGCTCAACCACTAGACTTGTTTAAGGTTTATTCAAGTTAGGAAGTTCTGATCCTGTTGTTGAACTAAAATTATTCCTAAACAATACGATTCCTACAGTCAGTTGAAGTTGTAAGCTGTGAGCTCTAATAAATGTCTTCCCCTCTCTCCAGACTTACAGTTTCTCTCACTCTTCCCAGCTCATGACCTGTCCCTTTAAGACACTTAGAAACCAGATTCCACAGCCTGAAGAGATCAGGCCAAACAACATTCTTGCACACACACACACACACACACACACACACACACACACACACACACTCCACACCACCCACCCTGGCCAGTCTGGGACAAAGCATTAAGAAGGCCTACTGTGTTGTGGCTTCACAGTCCTACCCATACTTGGTTCCTCCGTGCTTCTTGTCACATAAGCTGTTTCAGGCTAAATAACATTGGCTGGAACTTCCTGCCACCCTCTGAAGGACACAAACGTCTGATTCTTTCCTTCATTTGGGGGAGTTCTCTGAAGCTGTCCTCTGGGCCTCCCCCACCATCCTGTCCCTGTGACTGACGACTCTCTCTTACTTTAAGCTGTCCCTCTCAATGAAGCTTTTCTCCAGGTTTTAAGTGCAAGCCTCGCCTTCCTTTTAAGGCCACATCATGGTGTCTCTGGTACAGTGTTCCCTGTCTGATCCTCCTATTCCCTCCTCCCTCCACTCCACAGTTCTCCTTTCTGCCCCAAGCTTTCATCT